TGTGTGTGTGTGTGTGTGTGTGTGTGTGTGTGTGAGAGAGAGAGAGAGAGAGAGAGAGAGAGAGAGAGAGAGAGAGAGAGAGAGAGAGAGAGGCGCGTGGCAGCGCAGGGCACCTGGTGCTGCCACGTTTTTGTGGTGCCTGTGTGCAATTAGAAAGAGGGAGTGATGAGCACCTGCCCGCACGCATCACGTGGCTTTTTTTTCCTGTTTTTTTGGTTGAATTTCAGTGACTGTTGTTTTGGATTAAAATCCAACCGCCCATGCACCGTAGATGCCATAGTGGTTTTCCTAAAGAATGAAGGCCCTGCAAAAGCGGTGACAACAACACCCATAGAGACGGAGACTCTCCTCGCCGCCAGTAAGTCGAGTGATGAGGGCATACAGGTGTGAGGAGGTTGGATCTTTTTGTCTGTGCTTTGTACGTAATTGCCCTCACAATCGTACCGTCCTTGCCTAGTTTGCGGTCAGTTACATCCAGGAAAGTCTTAATTAGGTGAGTTATATCCAGGAAAGTCCCACCAGTACCTCCGAGCCAATTTTCGCCAAGTCGTGGCCAGCACCCGAACTTTTAGGAGGCCGGGCCCAACAACGGTTGCCGTTGATAAATCTGATCGGCGGCCGTCGTTTCGTTTCGGCCTCCTGAAAGGTCGGAGGCCGAGTATTTTCGAACCGTCGAAGGTACTGGTGCTTTAGGTCAGTTACATCCAGGAGAGTCTTAAGTAGCGTGACTGTGCCCTAAGTAGCTATGGTGGAGCAGATCCTCCCTTTGAAATGAGAGTTCAGTGAAATGCCACCTGTGAAGAAACAAACAAAGCAAAAGAAGAGAAAGACAGACAGACAGAGAGTTCAGATGGCTACGACGACCGGCAGCTCGACTCCGGTTTTTTTTCCTTCTTCTTCTTGTTCTTCTTTTTCTTCTCATCCTATGCTGTCAAAATTGGATTAAAAAAAAAAAAAAAAAAAAAGAATTGGATTAAAATTTTTGAAGCATTCATGATCATCTCGGCATTTCTCCAGTTTCAACCCACCCATGTGGCTTTTTTTTTTTCTTTTTTTTTTCATGTGGCTACATTGCTCGCCCATGCAATGAATTGTGGAGGGCAAATTGCACGTGCGCTGGATTAGGGTTTAGGGCCGTATTTTAAGAAAATTATACTAGTAGGCCGGTGTATTAGTAGGCCGATGTATAGTGACAAACATATACCTTTGGTGGCGGAAGGGAACCATTTTCGAAAAGTTTCTGGGCAAATCTGTGGGCTACCTCTCGTTTTATTGTATCTTTTTTTAACCAAAGATAGGCTTGCCATGAAGAGATTCCTTGTTGCGCATCCTTTTTTTTTTTTTTTTTTTTTTTTTTTTTTTTTTTTTCCTGTGGCGGAGCTAAGCTGTGAACAGCTGCAAGTAAATCCCCGAGGAACAAAAACCAAAACCCTAAAAAAGACTGAATAACAAACTCACAATGTTTACAAAGACGGTCCAAGAATTCAACTGAAATCGTGGGTCTACTGTAGGGCTACGACCCGTGGGCCTCTTGAGTGCTTGAGGCCGGTATAGGGGCTCGCCACACCACTGGTTTTTTTTTTTTCCCACCCCACTGTCGAAAATGCAAATTTTTGAATTTTTTTTCTTCTCAAAAGTGACCTTTATAAAAAAAAAAAAAATAATAACATTTGAGGCCGGTGGANTCTCGTTTTATTGTATCTTTTTTTAACCAAAGATAGGCTTGCCATGAAGAGATTCCTTGTTGCGCATCCTTTTTTTTTTTTTTTTTTTTTTTTTTTTTTTTTTTTTCCTGTGGCGGAGCTAAGCTGTGAACAGCTGCAAGTAAATCCCCGAGGAACAAAAACCAAAACCCTAAAAAAGACTGAATAACAAACTCACAATTTATTTATTTATTTATTTATTTATTCCTGTGGCGGAGCTAAGCTGTGAACAGCTGCAAGTAAATCCCCGAGGAACAAAAACCAAAACCCTAAAAAAGACTGAATAACAAACTCACAATGTTTACAAAGACGGTCCAAGAATTCAACTGAAATCGTGGGTCTACTGTAGGGCTACGACCCGTGGGCCTCTTGAGTGCTTGAGGCCGGTATAGGGGCTCGCCACACCACTGGTTTTTTTTTTTTCCCACCCCACTGTCGAAAATGCAAATTTTTGAATTTTTTTTCTTCTCAAAAGTGACCTTTATAAAAAAAAAAAAAATAATAACATTTGAGGCCGGTGGAAAATGCATTTTTTTTCTTTTTTCTTTTTTTCAACAAAGGGCAGCCAACTGTTGCATGATCCAGGCACTTCGGCCTGGTTCATGCAACGGCCGCTTGCGAATTACAAGAACCGGAAACCGGGTCCGGCGTCCCTTACATCATAGAGAAGGCTCAACSAAACAATGAAGCAAACGCGAGAAGTCTCAACGAAACAATGAAGCAAACGCGAAAACCCTAGCTACAGATAGAACTGATGACAATCTCGCCCATCCCAACTGCTGTCCGAGACAAACACCATCGCTACATCCACTCAAAACATAACTCCTATTGTCTCCAAAGAGAACAGAAAACAACCATAAGCCTATCGATAAGCCTATTGATGCAATTCCTAGTAGCTACTAGAACCAACATAAACCTATTCTAGTTTCTACAACACAACAAAATCAACGTAAGCCTATCGATGCAATTCCTAACAGCTCAACGCTATAAACCAACAGAACAGCAATTGCAAACCCCAATCATTCAACGCTATAACCCAACAGAACAGCAATTGCAAACCCCAATCATTCAACCCTAGTTTCCAATAGGTTCTATAGCCCAGCAGAATCAAGGAAGCAGCATGAACCGTTCATGTAGCTCGCACGCCATCGCACATCAACTTTCGAACTTCAGCCGCAGGCCGCCCACAATTGCTCGCACGCAGGTCATCCCCACGGCACCTCCATTTCTAAGACCGAAGGGCCAAGCCCTCGATCAGGTGTGTGAATCAGAATTAACCAGCTGAGACTCTGGAAAAACGCGATGCTCGGATCCCGCCCGTCGGACGTCCACACATCTACCACCATACCTTTTCGTTCAAACGGGATTACTACCCCCCCCCCAGTCAGCCGGGACTGGCCCATGGCAACAGCGTGACCCACTTAGTGCCCACGCACTCGATCCCCCACACTCCCACCTCCCCAGCAACAAGCTCTGGGTAGGCGCCACCATCTTCTCGACAGCACCCGTGCGATCCCCCGTTGCCCAAGCATCGCCCCCGACGGCGCGGACACTGGAACAGCGCCGCGACGTCAACAAAAATTCAAAGCGGGCGCATTCGCGGCCAGCACCCCGGCCGGCTTACGCACCGCTGCGCTAACGCAGCGCCGCTGGCGCATGGGTGCGCGGTTTCGATAGTGTCTTGCCACAACACAGCCTTTCGAAAATGAAAAACGGGCAAAAAAAAAAAAAAGAAAAAAAAAAATGAAGAACGGAGATTTTTCTTTTTTGCTACCGCTGTCAGAGAATGCTTCTCGACCATTCTGCAAGTCCTCCCCTCGGCCATCGAGTTCTCACATTGAATTGAATTGGGTGAATGGGCCTGAGGTTGGGACGGGCAAAATATTGTTGTCCCATCCTCAGGCGTGTTTGTCTGTTTCCGGGGGCTAGGTCCCACTTACACGAATTAAGCGATATTGACCGTAGATAGCAAAAAAAATCAACGGCCAGAAGCTCTTAATCCGTGCAAGTGGGACCTAGCCCCGGCTTGCATTCACGAGTTAGGGCATTCAACAGTGGTGTGTGCA